GCATAGAATGCAGTACACAAAATTGTTTACTTTGAGAGTGATGCAATCGTTTGCAATTCGAGAGTTTAGCAATTTCGGGAATAGTTCTTGTCTGAACTCGGGTGGATTTATGAATCAGCTACTTGAAGCTACTGCGCTGTCGATCGAATAGATGAAATTTGCGGTCACGATCAATTTGCGATCAAATGCGAAATTTGCTGGAGTTGAACAAATTCGAGAGGAAGTCCGCGAGCTCGGAAGTGATCTTAATTAAGTTTTCGGATGGACTGGATTGATAACAGATGCAGTGATGTGCACAGGGGCAATCGTTACGATTCAACGAGCTCATAAATATAACTATCGCCATCAACTGGCGCAAACTTAAAGCGATACGCAACTGAGAAATTACAGCCATAAAGTCCTGGGAGAACGTATAGAGAATGAATCGCAGTAATGAGAAGATCTGTGTTGAATTGTGGAGTAAGGCAAGATAAAAACTTGAATTCGGAAATAAACGCGAAGAAAATTAACAAATGAATGCCCAAAGCATCATCAATATCCATAATGAAATGGGCTATTAATCGGTGAATGTCGAAAAACTTTTATTTCATGCAGTTTTTCCGTTCAATAATTTATAAGAATCGAAAATGAGAGGTTCATAGCCAATGGGATGCAATATTGTATTATATATCTGCACGATCATAAGTCTGTGAATGAAGGAGGAGTGTCAGGCATAATTCAACGATGAATCGATGAAATGTAATGAATCGTGATATAATTGAAAACATCTACGATCTCTTATTAGTGTGTATTGTTTGAATTGGCAATCAAAAAATAAAAACATTCGTGAATCTGAAGACTACTTGATGAATGTACGGAATGCATCTTCCGGATGTGAATACAATTTAATAATGTCACCTCAAAACCACTAACAAAAAAGCATCATTTGGGCTAAATCCAATGGCAGAGTAGGCATACGATTCTAAATTTAGAAACCCAATCAAAATTTTAATCAAACTTCATCAGCTTAGGAGTTATTCCCCTTAGTCTGATGAGAACCTTTGAATAATTTATCATTAAGTGAGTTTTCCCATGTTTGTCGAACCATTCACTTCACTCATATCTAATTAATCAATTCATCAGTCTACTCGTTACTTCTTCCTGAATCACATCCTCCACATTAACAACAATAATAATAAAAATACTAATAGCAACATTAACAGTAACAATAATAATACCAATAATTAAAGCAGTAACATAATCAATGACAAAAAGTAATATTAATAATGGTCATGATAATAACTGACAACAATAATGGTACCAAAAGCTTAACAGAGAGTTGAAGCTTAACAAATTGACGGATTAAAAAGCATTCAAGTATATCTCTTGAATTAATGGACGAATGATATCTATCGCGTGCCATCTGAATTGATGACATCTGAGACTGACGATGTTCCATTATCATGTTGATGTATGTCGTTTATTCAGCGCATATCATTCATAATTAATTCGAAGATGCGCTAAGATCCCAATTCCAAGTTCGTTTGCTCTGTTCTCTGATCAACTGTTTGACGGAACATCTCGAGCAGGACGGATTACTTCCGACCAAAAATTTCGATAGGAAGTTTGTTGAGGCTGAATGCATTCGAGCCAATACGACGTAATACAACATAATAGGGCTTTAATAGGTCCATGTTCATAACAAAGATATTACTCCATAGAATGTTGAATGTATGCAAAGGGTTCGAGAAAAATTCTTTGAAATACTTGATTCTTTTGTTGGAAACAATATTTGAAGCAAAAATTCGTTTGAAAAACGAAAAGGACCAGTTGAATTCAATGAAATGATTGTTTTT